CGCTCTCCCGTATCAAGCCAATCTGCTCCTTGTGCCGGGCGGGGGAAGCCAGCAAACTTCGGTCAAGGCCTAGATTCACCGGCTCGATCGCCACGGGATGGGATTGAGGTATCTCTAACGAGGAGCGAAGGAAGAAGGGGCGCGTAATGCCCGTGCAGAGAGAAGCTCATTTCTCCACCCTGTTCGAAGACGAAGCATTAACTGCGCTCGCTTGTGCAACGTTACCAACAGGATTTCGACACGGCTCCGGTCGCCTCGACAAGGCGAGAGGGATGCAAGGTGAGCCTGAAGTAATCAAATGCTAATCTTCTTGGTCTTTTCAAACACGGAATAAACGTCCCTGGCCTTTTCTAACCCCTGTCACCTGGGACACGGGCAGTTCTGCCTCTTAAGATACAAACCGAGTTCACGCCAGTCCTGCGCCGGCAGCGGGACACGGCAAGGTTTGAGCCGCGTCCAAGCCGTGCCGAGAAGAGCTGCCTATCGAAGACGCAAAGCCATCCTTCAGCTGGACGACAAAGACCAAATAATCACAGGTATTTGTGTGCACAGCTCCGGCCGCGTACCGACACCCCGACTGCGGGCGAGCAGAGGATGACGGCCGTCCCACCGGCACAGGATTGCCCCCGGGAATTGGGAGAGGGCTGGCAGCCCTCCTCCCTAGCAAGCTGGTGGGGTGAAGAGTTTCACCAGCGAACCGGGAGCTGGCCGAGGAGATAAACATCATTCCCACCTCCTCATTGCACAGCTGCTCCGGCAGCCAAGGACAGGGAATGCTTCAAGTCCAAGCACTCACCTTGGGCGATGTCAGGCTCCTCTTCGGCGGCCGCTTTATCCAGCCGTCCCGCCCCTTCTCTCCCGCTCCCCACCTCAACGCTGCCTCGGCTCCCCGACCCCGGTTCCCAACCCCTGGAAAAGCAGCGATTCGCCCAAACCCGGCTCCTAACGGGCCTCCACCACTCACCTGTTCTTCTCCATCTCGTTGTGTGTTGACCTGAAAAAGAAAGAACAAGGTATTAACTCCTCCATCCGACTAGGTACACCGCAATTAGGATTAACACGTGGGCTTTAGTAAATGCTCCCCAGAAAATTCCAAACCTCGGGGGCTTTCAGAGCCGCTCGGTACCCTGGGGACAGTCAAAATGGCAGAAGGGACGCAGACAGCCCGGCGCAACGGCAAAATTGCCAGATAAATGGCAATAAAAGGGCGAGTAAAACCCTAAGAGGGGATTTGTAATGCGGAGAGGCTCCCTTTTAGAACTAGGACCGGGACCGAGCAGCCGTATCGGCGG